AAAAATAAAACAAAGCAACAGCTTTGAGAAACCAACCAACCCCGAACGAGTTTTTTTTTTTTGGCCAATTTTTCCTGTAGGGCCTGTATATTTTATTTTTCCTTGTATGTTTTATATACAATCGTCAATGAATGCAGAAACAATAATTTTAGTGTCCTCGATGACTAGGTTTTTTTTTCTGGTTTTGTAAATTACAAAGGAACATTTTCTTAGGATATTTTGTGTCTATTATTACAGTGTTCTTTATATTCCTAATCGTACAAATAGTCATCAATATTTATTTTAAACTTTATTTACAGTTGTTGAGTATAACTGTAGCATTAGTCATATAGTTGTCCCCTGGCGGGACAGCGGTAAGTCTTTGGATTTACCCTGCTAAGCCCCCCAGTGGCACAGCGGTATGTCTTCGGACTTACAACTCTAGAAACCGGGTTTCGATACCCGTGGCTGGCAGAGCGCAGATAGCCCATTGTGTAGCTTTGTGCTTAACTTCAAAACAAACAAACAATACACTGCTAAAATCAGGGGTTCGATTCCCCTCGGTGGACACAGCAGATAATCCGATGTGGCTTTGCTACAAGAAAACACACACAGTCATATAGTTCACCTAATAGCTATTTCGGTAAAACGCAGTAGTATTTGCCCTGTTTGTTTGATATTCTTGTGTTCCCAAAAAATGAATAAAAACCCTATAACCCGAGCGCTTTCGAAAGGCGAACCTTTCTTCTTCAGGGGGCAAACTGATGCTTCCTAAATTACTTAATAATACAAATACTTTGTAAAACTCTTAGGTGTAACCCTATTTTCAAATTAAATTAAAATAGAAACAAAAAGGAAGAAAAATTCATTACTTTCATATTTGTCAATTGGATCAATTCGCAAGGTGTAAGAGCTCAATTTGTTTAGATTTTGATACTTGTATTCAGGGGCAGACTGACCATAACAGCGGTCGACACAACCATCTGATCAGTCCGTCAGTTTTAATCAAGGGCTATTAAAATAAATTGAAAATAAAACCTTTATTTACTTTAGTATAAAGTCCTTATTTTTAAGATCTGCATAGAGTTGTTACTTAGTTTTAATTTAGTTTTGAACCCCCACCCCCAATCTGCTCCTGCTTGTATTGCAAACTTTACATTATAATTATTGTGATTATTGATAGGTCTCGTAGACGAAAAATAGTATATAATCACAAACTAGTTCTTTCACATGGAAAAGAACAAAGTCGAAGTAGCGGTAAGCGAAACAAGATTTTACTGTTTGTGAATAACTAATATATTTTTTTTCATCATAATTATCAAGGTTTACGGACATAACATATAGATTTAGGACTAACCCAAATCTCCTAAGCTGATCGAACTTCGTGAGATACTTATTGGATTTTGAACCGACAATGTCGTTAACAACGAGGGTACCTAACTGATGAAACAATGCAATCTAATAGTTAATTTCTGTAGTGCATATTGGTGTATAGAAGACATATTAATACCAGAAATAAACGACCTTATAACACCAAAGTGTTGTTTTTTATTTAATTAAATACTCAACGTTTCGCTTTTTAGGGGCGTTCACTAAAACACAAACCGAACCTGACAATTCAAAGCTGTAAAGTGAAACGTTGAGTGTTTAATTAAATAAATACAACATTTTGGTGTGATAAGGTCGTTTATTTCTAGTCTTAAATACATTCTAATATTTTTAAATGAGAAGTGAGAAAAGTATATTTAATTAAACATACTCATTACGTCCTGATTGGAAGTTAATATTTTGACATCACGGAATTCAGAATTTTGAATGTAATGATTTGTATTTAAGAGAAGGTTAAACAACTAAAGCTACTGATAATTGTTTATTATTCTATATATATAACTTAGCTGTGTTTTAGGAGAATGGTAATTACTTTTAAGCTGTATAACTTTACGTTATTAATTATCGATTAGTTTAGCAACATTTCTTCTGTAGTTTTTCAGTGAAGTTTTTCGTTATTGTTATAGCATTTAAAAGTAAATACTTTAATAAAAGGGTCAAAAAAGCCTATTGTAAGAAAATTTTAATGAAGCCACATGGCGAAAACTGTCGAATAAAGAAGGGGAATCCAACCCCAAATATCTTATCGATTATAGGCATCAGCTATGGGATGATGCAGGGTAGATGAATCGTTTCTATTTTAAGGACAATGGTAACACAAAGTCCGTAGTTGGCCAGGGAACGGTTGTGTTCGGTTACCGCTCGATACATAACTGGGTTAGTCATTTGACAAAAAATGGTAGTAATTCAAGTTAATTGGTCACATTTGGTAGACACAGTGTTACGCGCCACTCATGCGCGTTTGATAAAACGAATGAATTAGGGACGTGTAATGTTAATAGCTATATTAAAAAAAAAACAGACCAACTAGTGGTACGTTAGTGTGGTATCAGTTCATATCGGTGTAATGAAAGGGCCATTTATTTCCTTAAAAAGAAAAAAGTTACTTTTTATGTTAGTTTATTTTATTTAAGGGCCAAGCTGTACAATGGGCTGTCCATTTCGTGCCACCCACTACAGGGATCGAATCTTGGATTTTAGTTTATTAGCCCTCAAGTTTAACGCTATTCTCTAGGAGAAGCCTTTTATTTATATATAGGTTTGTATAATTGTATTTACTACTTGTGAACAGCTGTAAATGAAATTCTAAAACATGACCTACAAATATTGTTTGTTTGGTTTTAAGACTTTTTTATTCCCCGGTGGGATAGCGGTAAGTTTACGGACTTACAACGCTCACATTCATTGTTCGATTCCTCGCATTGAACACAAAAGACGGCCCAATATGGCTTTGCTCAAAAAAAACAAGATGTTTTTTTCTTTCTTTCTTTCTTTCCATTTTTTTCCCCATCAAAATATCAAAGAAATAATGTTGTTCTACAAATATTCTGGTTGAGTAGAATTGTCATGGTGTTATTTTTCTGAATATTTTATTAATGCTTTCGTGTCTACCAGTAAAAAGAAACTTTCAAGCACTTTGTCTTGCAAGTAACTTTAAGGACTCTTTGTTGATTACTTTGAAAAAAAATCAACTCGAAATTTTAAAAGTCAGTTCTTTTTTATTTTCTGAATTCCAATCATTATATTATTTTCTGAGAATTACATTGGCAGCTGCCAATGTAAAGAATATTAGTTATTATTGATTAACAAATGTCAAAGTGCTTTTCTGAAAAAGCTCCACTTAAATTATTTTTCGCCATGAATAGATAACAGACTAAATACCCATTAATGGGGTCTGCTCAAGGCATGTGTGTACAAAGATAAGATCAAGGACACCGAACATCTGAAACAACGAATATGCGACAAGTGTCGGACCATTGACAATGATATGAATACGCTTCGCAGTGTTCAAAGGAAATGGAAATAGTCTCCAAACGTGTTTCGAATTGAAGTGCCTATGGTCCAGATTTTTCGGTCACCCTGCATTTAAATAATTCATAATTTGGGTTGGAACCTGTGTGGTATTTTTTTTTTTTGCATTTCTCGCGATAGGATTAAATCGTGGACCTTTAATACGCCAACTGAGGTAAAGGGTTACCCATAGATATAGTTTGTAAGAGTTTCAAGAACTCAAACTACCACACAGTTAATCGGGGGGGGGGGGATTTTAAGATACAACAGTTTTTATTTTATTTTTTTTTTATTTTGAATTTCGTGCAAAGCTACACGAGGGCTACCTGCGCTAGCCGTCCCTACTTTAGCAGTGAAAGACTAGAGGGAAGGCAGCTAGTCATCACCACCTACCGCCAACTCTTGGGCTACTCTTTTACAAACAAATAGTGAGATTAACCGTCACATTATAACGCCCCCACGACGGAATGGGCGAACATGTTTGTTGGAACGGGGATTAGAACCCGTGACCTTAAGCTTGCGAGTCAAGCGCCCTAATCACCTGGCCATGCCGGGCTCAGTTTTATTGAAAACGCCATATATTAGTTTTTAATTATTCTTTCAATATTTCCACACTTTTTGGTATATATTTTGTTAAATAGTAATATCGTTTTTTATACATATTTTCATAGCTATAGCTATAGCTGAACGTTTGAAATGAAGCCTACCCATCCTGTTATTATAGATGCATTACCAGTTATTGAAAAAAGCTAATTACAGCGAGTTTTATCAGCTCTACACGTTAAGCTTTAAAAATGTAGCAAAGGTTATATTAATTCAGTTTGAACAAAAAAGAAAAAGAAAAAAATTACTGCGTAATTATTATAAGTCTTGTATGTTATGGATTAACACAAATGAAAAAAAAATATTTATTTGTAATGAATCAAATATCCAGCCTGATAGACAGGTGCTTACTTCTGTAGGGAAAGAGCATTTATATAGTTTGTTTGTTTTGTAATTTAGCACAAAGCTACACAATGGGCTATCTGTATCCTGACCAACACGGGTATCGAAACCCGGATTCTGGCGTTATAGGCCCGCAGACATACCGCTGTGCCACTGGGGGGGGGGGGGCGTGTTTATATAGAATAGTTAGTAAAATTTGGATTGTGTAAGATCTAACGTGTAGTAAACCGTTGCGAATCTCTGCTTCTAACATCAAAATGTAAAAATAACACTGAACATTCACGCAAAACCAGTTTATATAGTAAGTTAAAAGTTTTTAAAATAAGGCAAGTCAGTGAAATATATTTGTAATAAACTTTGTAAGGAATCAGTGGGAAACTACGTTCTTAAATTTTCAATAAAAATAGAAATAACTGCAGTAGAAATCAATATAAATTTGTCGTCAGTGTTCTGAGTTCTTCCTAACTCCAGTTTTCATTTCGCCGAAACCTTTTTTTTTCCCCACAGTGAAAACCCTTAAATGAACATATCCGTAATATTTGTTTTTAAAAAGGATGAGGTGTTGAAAAACAAAGGCATTAGTTTTCTAAACTTGATTCCAGTAATTGTATAAATGTTATTTTAAAAAAGTGTCGCATTCGTAACAACTCATACTTTGTTTTCTTTTATTTCCATAGGGTGGCTTTTGAGCACAATGGGTTTGCCAGTGGAATGATAAAAAGTTGAAGAAAAAGTTGCAGTCATGGTAACCGCTCATTTCGCATTTGGAAAGGTGTTAGGTAGCCCCTAGCGCATTCCACTTCTCTGCAGAATATCCGTTAAGTAACAACCTTGAAAAGTTCGCTGGCAGGAAAAAGAAAAGAAACTATTGGTAGCTTCAGGTTTCAAGCTCAGTAAAATAAGTTGAAATAAGGCGGGGATCTCTACGATTTGTGCATTTTCGTGAAAAAACATGTGCCTTTTATACCTTTGGTAACTTAACCCGATTTATAAAAATCTGGAAAACAGATAAAGTTTTAATAATATTGTTTCTTTCTTTGGTTTAAAATGCTTGAGAGTTCGCCCAAACAGCATAGCAGACGTGACACAAAGTCACTTTCAACCACAACAAGTGTTGAACATGAAGCGAAAGAAGAATTGTTGGAAAATGATGTTCCCATTGATCTTAGTAAGAAGTCTTCTTGTCCTATATGGAAGAACAAAGACACGCAAGGATCGTCAGAAAAAACGAACTTTCTAAAGAGTATTGAAAGTGATTGGATTGAAAAATGGCAAAAAATTGCAGGCGGTGTGCTTCCTCCGATGTTTTCCTCCTATCTTCATCTTGCCGAAGATCCATCAAGAACCCACTGGTCAACTTTAAATCATTCCGATAAACTATCGTATAATTCCAAAAGTGCTTCATTTCTGTCTCCTTTTCTCTTTCCCGTGGGGACATTAAATTCCTGTCCCTTGGTTTGTGATCCTTTCGGAAATACTTTTATTTTGACAGTTCATCCAGATGATGAACATATTGTTCCTGTGCCAATTGGTAGTCCTTTCAGTAATGGAATAAAACTTACTCAAACCGATCTCACTGATACAATACCTGTAAGTGACAAACTTTTGTCAAAATACCTAGAAAATAGTCCTGATGAAAAGGGTGATCAAAGCAGTAAGAACAGTACATTTAAAACGTTTTCCAGATCATCTAATAACGATGAAGCTGAGTCAGAACAGGAAGAAAACACCTGTCCTGAAAAAAATGACCAAAGAGACAAATTGAAAAGTAAAGACAGTCAATCGGGAAGTAATGAATCTAAATATACGAGTTTTTTATATTCTAAAGAGAAGTGCTCTGTTATAAGAGAACTGTCTCAAGAACACTGTGACGTAGCCGAAGATTTAAGAGTGTCTAAGGATACGAACCGTCTCGAAAACCTTGCACGAGTAGAACCGCAGTTAAGAGATTCTCATTTCTTTGGAAACTTGAAGAATTCTGTCAGTTGCTCTGTTCTTTCTGAAAAAAGTCCTGGGGTTGATCATTTTTGGTGTGAACGTCCCAGAACCAACTCTGAGAGTGCTGCATTTCGTAAGCATCCTATCGAAAGTGTCGTTGAAGACGCAAAAGACAAGGAAGCAAACAGTAACGAAACATTAAAAAGAAAAGTAGGTTCGTTTAAATCGGAAAGCGAGTTTGATCATTTAAACCCAAAGAGGCATAAAATATCCCTAAGAAAATCCAAATCGGAGGATATGAATTTAATAGACTCAAAGAGAAATGATCAAACTTTGTTTGCAGTAGACTTAGAACATTACAAATCAAAAGATTATTTTTCTTCCGCTCAAAACTTGGCTTCTGTTAGTATTGACACGTCTGAATGTCGAGGCCAAGAGAAAACGTTCTTTCAGCATCTTCGTCACATTTATCCTCTGTCCTTTCCATGGAACATCTATGGGTATTATAGTAAGCTCATGCAGACATGTCAAAATTCGGAAGTATTTACACATCTGGCAGCTAGAAATATCAGTATAACGTCAGATGGCGCTGTTAAGACACCTTCCCCTAAATCCTCTCCAAGCTTTGCCAAAACTACTTCTCATGAAAACAGTGGAATCGTAAATGACAGCCAAAGCGACACTTGGAGTGCAAGTGCAAAAAAGCGAGTACCTCGGACACTAACTGGCAAGCACGTGCGATATGGAACTGGTGCAAGTCTTTCCACCTTACAAACTCTCCGTGAAAAAATCCACGAGAGACAAAAAGCCAAGGAACATACGGTGCTGAATGAGAAATTGTTTTCCTCAGAGAGTAACAAGAAGAAATCAAACTCTAAGCAGCCAACAAAGCGTGACCGTAGTCCTAAAACTAAGACAAAAATCCCAAAAATATGAACCATGTCTAAACAGCTTTTTAAATATTTTGATACCACTTTGCATTCCATTTCAACATTGAACTAGCAAACAATTTATTAAGAGATTGATAAAAAAATATGTTGATTTTCCTTTTTTTACAAGTAGTGTGTCATAGATTTTATACAATGATAAAGAAATTTATACAGTGTTAGTATTTTGTCACGTAACTTCTGTAATTTAATAGATATTTTTTTAGATGTGTTATTTCTACTCTAAATGTAAACACTGGGCTTCCCTGATGGTGTTACCTAAAGGATATTTCATCTGATGCATCTGTAAAATAAGCTTTGTTATAGGTTTGTAGAGAACACATGAAATTCTTCCAACTTACGTAAGCTCTCCACTATCTCAAGTCCTGAGTTAAAGTAATCTGTAATGTTAACAGTTTTTTGTTTTTTTTTATAAATGCTTATATAATTTGTCTGAATATTTCAGTAGTATAACTACTGGACTTTAACCCATTTTTTTTCAATGAAACAAAAGTGGTCCAATATTAAGGTAGAATCGTCCAACGTTTGGTGGTATGCAATAGTCACCCAATTATGTGATTGTTCCACCCAATAGTGAGTAGAGGCAGAAAGATACCCCACGTTGAGATGAATCAACTCCACGTTTGAGTGGAGCTAGCTAGCACTCACCCAATGCTGAGGTTAATCAACTCCACGTTGAGAAGAATCAACTTCACTCACCCAGTGGTGAGGTTAATCAACTCCACGTTTGAGTGGAGCTAGCTAGCACTCACCCAATGCTGAGGTTAATCAACTCCACGTTGAGAAGAATCAACTTCACTCACCCAATGCTGAGGTTAATCAACTCCACGTTGAGAAAAATCAACTTCACTCACCCAGTGGTGAGGTTAATCAATCCCACGTTGAGATTAATCAATTTAACTTATCCGGTGGTTAAGTTAATGAACTCCACGTTTGAGTGGAGCTAGCATTCACCTAGTGCTGCGGTTGATCAACCCAAAGTTTGGGTGGAAATAGCACTCACTCAGTGCTGAGTGTGATCAGCTCAACGTTTGAGTGGAACTAGCACTTACTCGGTGCTGAGGTTGATCTACATACGTTTACAACCCAGTACTGTGGTTATCAACCCAATGTTTCAATGCAGCTAGCTCTCACCCAGATCTCTGAGGTTGGTCAACCCAACGTTTAATTAGAGCTAGCTCTCGCCTAGTGTTGAGGGTGATCAATCCATCGTTCACACCTCAGAGCTGAGGTTGATCAACCCAATGCTTGAATGGATCTAGCATTCCCACATTGTTTAGGTTGATTAATCTAATGTACACAACAATACCCGAGTGACATCCGTGTAAATTTACTTTTAGAATTAATATATATATATATATATAATATACACAACCCAATAATTATTTTTACAGTCTCGGTTGTCCAAACTTTGGTAGGTCTTTAGAAATCATTGATTACACTTGTAAAGCCTAGTTAATTTTCTAAATTGTGTTATTTGTAGTCAGTGGTTAAGTTGGGGTCTTGAAAAAGGTGGAACTCCTATTTGTGATCCACTTTGACATTCCAAGCAGAAGACTAGGAACGCTAATGGCTTGAATCCTCAAAAATGCGGAACTCAAACAAAGTGTAACAATAATTCAAGCAAATTACAAGAGTTCAAATGGTTATTACATCATAATAAATTGTTTTATTATTATTTATCGATTTATAAACGTTAGTTTTAGTCCCAACTTATTAATAGGAAAATTATGTGAAATCCATTCATACTTTTTGCTCTTTACATTAAATACGTCAAATGTACAAATAATGTTCATAATAATTAGATACACGACTATTTTTAAAACGAACCATCATTTTCTACAGGCTACAACTAATTCCCCCTTTTCACTGTTTACTTTATTTGAAATGTAAACTTGAAAAATCAGTTTTTAGTATATCAAGATAGATCTTTCATTGTGTTTTAGCTTCCAAGATTTTCGTTGTTAGGTTTATTGCATTTGGATACCAGTCAATCACTTGGAATGAATATAATTATCTGTATTCATTTCATGAATTTCATTGTATTTATACTGTTGCTGTTTAAGCACGTTGTCACAAACTACTAACTCATCTGCTCACCCGAAATACTCCATGACGGGACTCGAACCTATGATTTAACAGCGCCACTTTACGAACAAGGATCTGATCTACTCTTTATGTTTTTAAGATTGTGGAATTTTTTGTCTTATTTTAAGTTTCTTGTTTTCGTTTCATGTTGTTTTAGACGATTCTTTCATGTTTTTTTTTTCTTCTACATAAACTAAAGAAACATTATTAAAACATTTTCATTGTCCTTAAAATAAACTCATCTTCGTAGTATACTGTAAGTGTGAATGTTTTAGTATCATAAGGTATTTTTCACTGATTCTCAGAGGCATACATTGTTTCAAAATTCTTGATTTGGGTTCTAACTTTCTTCAGTGATTTCTGAAATTAAAGAAAGGAGAAGATTTGGTTTGTTGTTAAGCACAAAGCTACACAATGGGTGTCGAAACTTTGGTTTTGGCCTGAGACTTAGCCCTGGGCTACAAGTAGAGCTGGGGGAAGATTTAATGGCGAGTTAACTTTAGCATTGTTCTACTACTGAATATTAACAAACACTGCAACTTACATAGTTATTGTATGTTGTTTTTCTAACATCAGGTGAAATCGTTTAAGGATAAGCAAGAAAAATCATTTTAGAAATGCTCTGATGATAAAATATTTAGTTTATGATTTACTCTTTTTAGTTAAAGTCAGTTTTATTTGTCATATTCGTCACGAAAGTTCCCTTAGGAGATATCAAAAATAGATTGAGTGAAGAACTGCTGATGTCAAATGGTAAGTTGTAAGTTTTTTGAACGTCTTTCTTTTTCTTTTTTTTTGGGGGGGGGGGGGTGTTTTTCTTTTTGCGATTTGCTGTATACGCTTTTACAGTATGTATTTCTTTAACAAATATCTGTCATTGTCACCGTAACGTATTTAAAATTCCATTCCATTTATTCTTTATTTTTAAGACTTAAATTTCATTTAAGTTTTTCACCTTTTTGTCATTCCACCTGTATTTGAGTGTACATCGATTCACTGAAAGGATACTTTACTTTGATCTTATGGTTTTTGTTTATATACATACATGTCTTGTTTCATTTGCATTTGAATAAATCACAGAGTTATGTGGTAATCAATGTGCTTAACTCACTTATTTCATATTATTATATTTTTTATGTTCTAATTTTTATTACCAGTGGGAATCGCAGATGAAAATATCGTATATAACCTTACGAAGACTAGCTTGCTGGTTTACTAGTACTTCTGAATGATGAGTAAGACTAATCCAAGTAAAAACATATTATAATAATAATAAATAATATTGTGTTATTTATCCTTACCCTAATTGTGATTTGTAAATGAATCGTATAGAAGTTGATAAAACTTGTATTTCACTAACTTCATCCAATTCACACCATAGTATAAATAGCGTCTCAACCACTACTGTGTTTCTACTTTATCAGCCACCTCATGAGCCTTTGTATTGGTCTGATATAGTCAAGTTGATATATATACATTTTTTAAGTTACACTAATTAATTTTCAGACTTATTATTTTAAAGCATAAGAAGTTGCAAGTTCAAACCCTGTAACAACTATAATACTATAAAGTATATATTGTTGCCACCAGGTGCTATAATAGGTCGAAAACTGATAACATTTTATTATCATAACCAGTTAAAAATGGAAAACATCTTATAACAGTGCGAATACAAAATTGTTTATCAAGAGTAGTTAAGTCACTGATTTGTTACAGGCATCACAGAAAAGTCAAAAAACAAAAATAAAGGGCAAACATGGTTGGTTGGATCCACATAAGCAAAAGTTAATACAATGAGAACAATGATATCTTAGCATTACGTTGAAAAATACTTATCTGAAATGAACTGATAGAAAACAATATAACTGATAACATGCTTAACATACCTTACATATCAGGACTTGATTAAGTTTTATTTTTACATTGTTGTTTTAAGGTTAAAAGCAATGACAAAATATTATGTCATGCTACCGAAGGTATGTGACAACAAATGACATATATCTTGCAGCTCTTCTATTGATATGGTGAAGAAACAAATCTTATTTCATACTTTATAGCTTTCATCTTCAAACAACATTTTTCATTATGAATTATTCACTTGGTGATCCAAACTGGTTTATAAGTTTAACAAGAACAAGTTTTATTACCGAGGAATGACACATTTCTCCTGTCTAGCTTCTGCAGTCTAAAGCAATTAAAATTTGTAAACTGAGCCTAAATTTAATAAGATTATTAGTTCCCGATTAATAGCCTGTATCAACGTGTTCACTAACGTTTAAGACATTGACCGAGGTATGTGTTTTAATAGAGGGTGCTTACATTGATTCTCTGTATGTTTTGTTTAAGCGCAAAGCTGAACAATGGGGCATTTGAACTGTGTCCGCCGCTGGGATTGAACCCCAAATTTTAGCTATAAGTGCTCCTGAGCCACAGGAGAACCTTACGATGATACTTGAATTGTATATTTTATTCGCAAGTGCCTTAACTACTTATACTTTCTATAAGTTCCATCGTTCAGTTGGTGAATGTTTGGATTCGAAGTGAGATAGAAGGTTGCGCATAACATAAATCAAAATCGGTAATATCTAAAAAAAGCGGAGACTTTATAACGCAATAAGCTTTGCAATGAATCCCGAATATTGTTTGTTCGTTTTTTAAAGCAGAAACTAAAAATTCAATCATCAATGAAATCAAAAGTGAGCGAATTATGTGTTGATTTCAAAATCCTAGACATGTTAAAAGATAAAGATTCAAGTTTACTTCTCCAAATGAATTTTATTGAAATATTCTGTTTATTACTCTATCAATAAATTTAATTACTCCGTTAATGAAAGACGTTTTGTAAATGACATTATCAGAAAAAAAAACAAAATAACATGTATACAGTTGGGAACGTTAGTCCAGGATACAGTAAGGCTAGTAGTTATTTGTTAGGAACGTTAGTCCAGGATACAGTACGGCTATTAGTTATTCATTGATAGTACTTGAGTGAAATGTTGTGAATATTTAGGCTTATTAGTCATTTTCGAACACTTGTCGTTGTTATTAAAAAATAAATATGAAGCCCAATCTATTGTCGTTGTTTTATTTATTACGTCAAGATAGTCACGCTTCCTATTGCCTAATTCTAAACATTTATCGCCACGTTTTAAAGAGTAGATGTGAAGTTTTGTCTTTGTTTACCAAATCCTGTCTGTCAAAAGTTAATTAAATTTTATTTTCAAAGTTAACTAAAGCGACTTAATATCAGTTAAGCTGTATGTATCAAATCGTAAGTAAGATAAACCTGTCTGAGCAAGTGCTACTATGAGAATACTTGTCAGTTCCCGAATATGACATGAATCTAATTTTTTTATCCTTTTTAATTCTGCTGTAGTAATCTATTCTTCTGGGGCCGAGCGTGGCCTTATAGTTAGCGTGTCGCACTGTGTATCCGAGTTTCTATGGTTTGTGCCCCGTTACCGCCAAGAAAATAATTTCGCTGTGGGTGTGTTATAAGAGTAGCCTAGGAGTTGGCGGTGGGCGGTGTTGACTAGCTTTCTACCCTTTAATTGATCACCTCAAACTTAGGGAACAACAACTATTCCTCTGTAAGAACGTTTGGCTGTCTATAAACTTATTCAGTTAAGTCTGTTATAAATATTCAGTTTGTGCTTCTCTGAATGTTATATTCATTTCGGATCGAGTGTCATTCAACAGTGGTAACTTGAAGACGTTTTCAATTCCTAGTGCAAATTGTCATCAGGTCAAGTGAATATCTGCGTTAGAAAAGCAGTGCTTGAAGCTTGTTACATTGTTTTTAACCTTGTAAGAGGCGAGGGTGTGATATTATATTAGTCTATATTGCCAGTAGAACCTCCCTGTAAAAATGATTTTACTGAATGTAGCTCAAGGGCAGTATTTTCAGAGTTTTTCAAATTTCAATAAGATCAAACATCATGTCACATTAGATAGTATCAATTATTATCGATAAGAAAAATATCTTGAAACATTTCTTTATAAGCCTAAAATATCCCAGTGCTTATCATTATTATCAACTTTTCACGAGCCAGCCCAGCATCCTTTAGTACTGGGTCTGTGATGGTCAACAGGGTGGTCATTCCGGAATTTCGAGAGATCTCGATGAATGAAGCTCGGCACAACTTCTAAAACAAAACAAACAAACAAAAACATTAAATATTAATGAAAATATGATATAATGAAATGTATATGGATTATACTATGGTGGCACCATACTGGACATTATACGACATGATGAAATCTATATGGATTATACTATGGTGGCACCATAGTGAGCGTTATACCGTCCTTCTTATATTTATTCTTCATTGCAGAAATGACATTTTTAATTTGAGAATCGCTAGAGAAATCATTTTGTTTGCTCCCCAGTAGCACAGCCGTATGTCTGCGGACTTACAACGCTAGAATCCGGGTTTCGATACCCGTGGTGGGCAGAGCACAGATAGCCCATTGTGTAGCTTTGTGCTTAATTAAAAACAAACAAAATCATTTTGTAATGCATCTCTTCAACTTCAGTACTGCGTCTTTGGGCTTTATTATGCCGTTAGTTTCAGAAAATATTGAAACAAATGATTTTATTTTATATATGATCCAAATCCCCCTTTTTTGTTCCCGTTTATGTTTCGCTGTCAATGCAGTAATCAATTGACGAACCTCCGATTCAGCTGGTATGTCAAATCGGTTGCGATTTCTTCGAATAAGTTCTGCCCTCATCCTACCCGGATCCATTTTGTTGCGATCATCTTCAACGCCTTTATAGAACATATAAACTACATTTTCCTTGAAAAAAGCAACGCACTTTTATCCGTCTGTTTTACCATAAGGAGGTCTTCGAGCCTATCCAGACGGAAACGCCTCCACTATCGCTTCAAAACGTACATCAGTTGATGTCGCCACAGGTATTGGACGATCGATGATCAAAACATACCCTGTATCAGTAAGACGTATTATATTTATTAAAGCGATTTTCTTGTGCCTCTACAAATATGTCGATTTTTCAATGACATCAAAACAAATGTCTGCTGGCATACAATACACGTGTTACCGTTCTCGACCGCCTGAGCTATTGAGTCTATTGGTGTTTGATTGCTTTCGTCACTTTGTTCTTTATCCAGCTTCTTTTCTTTAGTCGGTTTAATGTTCGTGGGACCGCTATAGAAACTATAATGTGTAATTGTTCCAACAATTTCTTCGTTCGCACCTGTAGGTGTGATTAAATCATCGTCATTCGTCTCATCCAGTACAACATTGTCCTGTCGATTCGTTCATTTCATCATCGAAACCAACATCTTCATCTTCTTCACGATTACTATAATCTTCTTCCTCATGATCTTTGTCTTTCTCACGAGGGACATAATATAAGTTATATTAAAATCCAGTCCAGAGTAGTTGATACATTTGGTGGAAAAATAAGTCTGATAATGAATAGTAAAGCCACGGCACCAATTCTGAACATCTATTTACAATACAAAGTAAGTATAAATGTAAATGTGTTTATCCTCATGGTACCTTGATATTTGCCGAATGCAGCCTTATGAGGAATCAGATTTTCTTTCCGTTTAATGTGTTTATCCTCATGGTACCTTGATATTTGCCGAATGCAGCCTTATGAGGAATCAGATTTTCTTTCCGTTTAATGTGTTTATCCTCATGGTACCTTGATATTTGCCGAATGCAGCCTTATGAGGAATCTGATTTTCTTTCCGTTTAATGTGTTTATCCTCATGGTACCTTGATATTTGCCGAATGCAGCCTTATGAGGAATCTGATTTTCTTTCCGTTTAATGTGTTTATCCTCATGGTACCTTGATATTTGCCGAAT